CATTTTTGCGTTCTGGAAAACCAAGACACAGCGCCTCCTCCACACGTCACGATCCCCCCTGACACCGACCTACGGTCTGCTGCCTTGCTTGCAAAGTCCGCATCAGCGTACCCCTGCAAGCTTAATCCCTCCACCGTACCTCTCTGAAACGAAATGCCAAAGTGACTCGTCCTCCTCGCATAGCCTAAAATATCCATCGCTGCATTCCAGTGTACCAGCTTCGGAGATGCGCAATACCTAGCTACTGCCCTTACTGCATTGGCAATGTCTGGCCTAGTCTGAGTCGCCAGCCACATTAACGATCCTACCAGCTCACGACACGGAAAGTCTCTCGCCACCTCATCCGCATCAAAATCAGAAAGCTTCACCCCCGAAGGCATCGGAACGCTCTTACCTCCCACTACTCCATATTCTGCTGCTAGCTCATCCGTGAAAGTCTGCTGAGAAATCGTCAACCTACCGTTCTCCTTGTTCCTCTCGTAAAAGCACCCAGAATACCATCTCAACTCTCCCAGGTTCTTCACTGGCACGGACTTGTCAAGGTCGGCGCCAAACTTGTCACATCTCTCCCTCTCTCCCACAGCAAAAATGTCATCAACCAGCAATGCTTAGCTACAAAGAGCAGCCTTGGCGAGCATAGAACGTGAAAATGTCCAGTCTTCCTACGCAGGTTGATAGCGGATGTTTACCGCTGGGAGGCCCGCGGATCCGTCGCTGACAAGGGACCCCCACCCCTCCCTCCCCCTTCCGTGCGTTGATTTACTCGTCTTTTGTTAGACGAGCCTTGAGGCGACCGGATCCGTTCGTGGCGCTGACGGAGGTTCTGCCGCAGCTAGCTTCCCCCAATCCCGTGAGTGAAGCAATGGACACAAAACAGCACTGTAGTTGGTTTGGTGTGAACGGCGTGGCTGCAGCGCGTCGTCAGAGCGGGTACACACGGCGAAACCAACCACGTGGTGCACACGCTCAACGTTGTACGCGCGCCGTTTTTTTTGGCGTGCACGTGGATGAAGCCGTATTCAAGAGGCCATGCGCTGTTGCAGGTTTCGTTCTGACCGTGAGCGTGTTGTTTGCTTGTGGTGGTGGTCGTCGTCGGTGCGATTGTTGTTGCTGCTGGCAGCGTTCGCGGTGGTGGGGTGATCAGGAACATGCGTTGTATACATGCCGTGCGATCGTGTGGGGTGGAGAAGTAATGTTTTCGCGCTGTTTTTGCTGGATTCGTTTTGCGGCCCGGACCTCGTCCACCAGTTTCACGTCGATCTCATTTACCAACACCAAGTGTACAGCAGTCGTCTCCAAGCACCATCCTCCTGCTGTGTCGATCGGGTTGCTTATATTGGACAGCCTATGAAGTCGTGCTGTGTCGCCTCAACGTGTGAATCCGTTACGTGAACGGATGCACCTCAGGTGCGAAGATGGGGTATCGCCGGGTGCGTCCGAAACTGCTGCTTCGAGGAGCTGGACCACCCGTGGCTGCTGCACGAGGTGAAGGTTGTGCCGCATCTGCTCATGAGGCTCGCCGACGAGAAGGACGAGTACGACTTCGAAGAAAAGGTTAGGGGGAGGAGGAGCCGATATATCGTGTCCCATTCTGAGGCTCAAGGGGATGTATCCGTCTCTGTCTATCTATCTATCTGTCTGTCTGTCTGTCTGCTTGTTTGTCCGTCTGTCCGTCTGTCTGTCCTCTCTTTGTTCCTCTCTTTAACTGCCTCCCTCTCTCTCGGGTGTGTACCTCACTGTCTCTTTTTCTACCTCTGTCTCTTTTCTCCCCCCCCCCCCCCCCCCCCCCCCCCCCCCCCCCCCCCCCCCCCCCCCCCCC